CATTGCGCCATTGTATCACTCTCAGGCCCATTAATTATCTCTACAAAAAATGATGCCTATCCGTTGCTGCGTAAAAGGATTATCCAAGTAGTGCAAATCGTATTTCTATACTACTAAGGCTATTATATGAGAATGATTATTTAATCTTTCGTTAAAAATAACTTGGTTATTTTAATATAATTATTTTTAAATAAAAGATGTATGTATCAACCACAGATTTTTTTCCTGAAATGTCAAAATAAAACATAGATTTATTCAATTTTAAGGAAATAAAAATCGATAAGGGAACTAAAATTAAGTGATGTAGTACTTTTTTATAGGCCTTTTCTCTCAGTGCGACATATACATACTACGTAATACAGTAGCGCGTTAGGGGGACCCACTTGAGATTTAGGTAATAAAAAAATATTTTTTAAGACCTCAAGGGGTTCAGTAATAAATTTTTTTCATTGTCGAATTTTCAGAATCGAAAGCGAACTTCATAGATTTTATTATTTCTAGAACACAATAAATTTAAAAATTCTAGGCTACAAGGATCTTATTTAACTGTCTATTGATGTTATTTATTATTATTATGATATACTATTAATGAATAAAATTATAGTGTGTTTACATAAATGGTTAAAAATCAAGATCGTTCGCGACATGTGTCATATCTTATCATCCATACTAATATAAATATGAAAGTGTGTTTGTTTGTTTGTTTGCTTGCTTGCTTGCCCTTCTTTCACGTTGAAACAGAGTGACAGATTGGCGTGATTTTTTGTGTAAAGATAGTTGGAGGACCGGAGAGTTTCATAGGCTACTTTTTACCCCGGGAGATATCTCATTCTTGCGGAAAAATACGTTATAAATTATGAAGGTTTTTTTTGAATTTCATCTTCTGATAAGTTGGCGAAATGTGTATAAAATCAGTTTTTTTGCGGATGTCAATTTAAAAGAGTAACCCTAGCTGGGTTGCTAGTAAGTCTAGTAGGTAGAACAGACCGTTAGTATTCTTATATGATTTACATATAACCAAAGTGTTTTTGTAACCTAAGTACTAATATAGTAATTTAGTATTTATAGTTACATTAAGTATAGGTATATAGAGGTTTTGAAGAAACGAACGCCGGATTTAGGTAAAGCAAGAGGCTCTTGGGTTTCCACGGAGAGCTCTCGTTTTCATGGCTTTTAGAGCGATTTGAAAATATAAGAGTGGTTTCTACACTCTGGATGTAGAATACTGAACAACCCTCAATGGTATTGTGGTTTGGTTATATTATTGGCTTGGTTTTGTTTAGTATATATTAGGGACGTCAAGGCGTAAATAGACTACGAGCCTATAATATTTGAAAATGACTAAGATTTTCTATAATAAGTTAATTTTAGTTTAATCACTAATAACTCATCCTTGCTCCGCTCTGGTGCATCCCTAGGTACGTTTAAAAAAATACTATATAGGTATAGAAAAGTAGGCAAGGACTAAAAAAAATAAAAAGTGTATATATGTATTTCTTATACTTGAGAAATGATTGATTCCCAATATAAACTTCCACCCCCCTTTTCACCCCCTTAAAGGATGATTTCCGGGATTGAAACTATTCTATGTCCTTCCCAGGGTACCAAACTAATTCCATACTAAATTTTATTTAAATCGGTTCAGCGGATTAAGCGTGAAAAGGTAACAGATAGACAGAATTACTTTCGCTTACTTTTATAATATAAGTATAGGTTTCACCTACATAAGAGAGTGCAGACATCTCATCGGCCGATAGTTTAGTCGAGTAAAATAGATAAATACACATGTAATCTATTACTAGATAAGATTAATATGATGTTCATAATAATTTTGTATATCAAGATTTTAGTGTGATGGTGGGTGATATTGCGCGTAACCGTGTGTGCAGGGGGATAATCAAACTGTGTGCATCAGCACTGCCACTACAAGATCAATAGCATATAAGCAGCATATAAAGCTAACTTTGTATATACTAAAGTACATACTTTATTATATACTAGCATTGATAAATGAAACAAATTCTTAGGTTTTACATATGAGTATACTCCTACATGGCAGTTTTTGTATTTTTGCTCAGAAATGAGATATTTTCCCGCGGTAAAAAGTATCCTATATGTTGACCCGGATAACCAGCTATCACCATACCAAATTTCATCAAAATCTCTCGAGTGGTTATTCTGTGATGCGGTAACAGACAGACAGACAGACAAAAATTCTAAAAACTATAGATTCGGCCTCTATATCGGTAATAATGTTTATTACAATAAGATTTTCCAAAAAATATTTAACGTACAGATTCGTCTTAGTTACAATTTTATTATATGTATAGATTATATACTAAGTACGTGTATTATATATTATCTTGAATAAGATTTTTGTTTACTGTATAATCTCATACTTTCATATATAATTATTTACAAGAGATTGTAATTACGTGCTTAACAATTTTATGTTAAACTTCGTTCATTATGAACTTTCTCATGTTTTGTTATTCGCTATACGAGATATTAAATATATTATTAACAATATCAAATAGAATTTCTAATGCCTTCTAAGTATTTTAGGCTTTGATTTTAATTTTGATTTATAACATAGATTTGAAATAAGCTTTTTATAATAATTATTACTCACTTTTCAAAAACTTGCTTTGTAAGATATTTCTAGAATCTTGTTATTGTTCGGCTTATCACAGTCTAATTTCTCCGAATCAGATGATAATGAAATCTAAAAAGTGGAGTGGAAAAGTTTGATATGGCTTCTATAAAATAAACCTATCTGGCGTAAGGGGCTAACCACGTGAAGCGGGCAAGTAAAAAATGTTGACATTCTTGAGTTTATTAATATTTGATTATGTTATAACTATATATGTCTTCGACCAAGATGCGAAATAATTGTGCCCAAATGACACTCCTAGAAGCCACGAAATAAAAAAATTGAATTCAAAGATGTTATTTTTTTATATAGCACAAAGCCTGCTTATGGAGTTAGACGACTGAAATTTTGCGTAACCGGCAAGTACGCAAAATTTACTGGTACTCGAACTTTACTTTTAGAAGTTATCATAACTTAATGAGGGGTATTGTTTATGGTGACACCATTTGGCGCCACTGGCGAGTAAGGTCCTATCGTCGTTAAAAAGTATTTGTTAATGCGTCGCCAGTTTATATAAATAAATAGGTAATATATATCAGTCAGTAACACGAGTGATACCTTTAATATTACAAGGAACCCTTTCAACTTTAGTCTGCCTCGCTCTTATTTTTTTGACACAAAGTAAACGTCTTTAATCCTATATTCTATGTAACAGACCCCAATCCAGGTATATTGAAGTTCTTCAAGTAAGACATTTCGTAAGGAATTTTCTAAAAGAGCAAAAAAGGATACTCCAAATAGAATTTTCGTAACAATGTAACAAGAAATTTCTTTACTATCCAAGTTCTAAATTCTTACAATTTCGTTGGTCTAAACACTAAAGTAAGACTGATCTAATATTTTATTCACAACTAACTTTTGTCACCGGCTCTGCTTGTGTTGTTTATTTACGTATCTCTTAGTTATTAATCTTTTCCACTGTTATGCGATGTAGGTGCGTGATGTTGCAAAGCCTTTAGTTTTCTTCGATAAGTACTAATATAGGCTATAAATGTTTTTTTTTCCAAACAGGATTAGTGGTTACAAAGATTTGGGCATTTAAACAAACAAACAAACAAAAGAAACTTCATTATTGGATAATATTAGCTTACATTTTGTTTTTAGGCACCATAGTCAGGATCTATAGAACATAAATTTTAGGATTTTAAACTAAGTTTGCCGCAAATTTTTTCACGTTGTTGCCAGTTTAGTAAAATTGACGTGGAATCTCGAATTTCCTCTAAAACTATTAAATCGCCGTTGATTTTTATAAGGTTTTCAGTTCAGAAACTAGGTCGTCACAGCGGGTTAACGAATGTCGTTCAGGCCGTTTAAAATTGCACTTCACTACCAAAAAAAAAGCGAATGAATATTCAAAATCACTGCCAAAAGCAAAAGTACTTAATTTTAAATGGAGTTTAGTTAAACGCACTCATTATAAAACTAACATTTTTAATTATAGTGTCAATAGTAATTTTATACGTAAACAAGCGGCTCACCCTCGCTTCGCTCGGGTTCGTCGCTAGGTACGTTTTAAGTAGAGATAAATAGTTATTAGCCAGCGCTAGCCATATAATTTTCGTTAATTTTTCTGATGTTTTAATACTTATTATCCTATTCCGGACTAAGAGAAATCCAAAAATTCAAATATCATAAAAATTGGTCCAGCCGTTCTTGAGTTTTATGTCACGTCACACGGGAACGCAATCGAACGGGATAAAAAGTATCCCATGTCCGTCTCCTGGGTCTAAGCTACTTCCCCACCAATTTTCAGCCAAATCGGTTCAGCCGTTGTTGAGTTATAAATAGTGTAACTAACACGACTTTCTTTTATATATATATAGATTAAGCCGTCTCTCAATCGTAATTAAAACTAGCATTGCCCGCGGCTCGGCTTGCGTTCAGACGACCAAAACCAAATTGTTAGGTTTTACATATTAGTATACTCTTACATTGCAGTTTTTGTATTTTTTCTCAGAAATGAGACATTTTCTGTATCGATAATAATGTCTATTTCAATTAGATTTCCAAAAAAAATATTTAATGTATTACTTTGGCCGATTTACAATGGCTTTGTACCTTTACTAAGTATTTTTTTTTATAAAATAACCAAAAAAAATATCTACTACATTCAGCCTACTTCATGTTTTTATTATATTTTAATTAAAACACAATTGAAACACATCAAGCGGCTGGTAATCAAGCGCAAGTTGGATATCTAACAAACAATAAATAATATTATTTATATATTTATTTAGATCTTAATCATGCCTAAGATTTATTTCTCATAATGCGTTTAAAATCGAAAGTTTTATTCTATCCTATAGTAGTGCTGATGAAATAAAATTAATATGTATTTTGTACACAGGTCCGCCTACGACAGTATAAAGTTATCGAAAGTGGCCATCAAGAAAATATCACCATTTGAACACCAAACATATTGTCAGAGGACACTAAGAGAAATCAAAATTCTCACCCGATTTAAACATGAGAATGTAAGTTTAAGAATTTTAAGCACAGCGTTAATTAATTTTGCAGGTTTTATGTTTTGTCCTTGATTTGCTTATGTCGTCACTACAGCTTGCTCGTCCTTCAGTTACTATATACATATATCCCTATTGCGATATTATTTATTATTTTAATATATTTAAAGAGGTTTTATATTTTTTTTTTATTTATTAACTATTGTATGTATTATAATGACAGTTCATGTGGGAACGGTTTTTATTTATAAATGTGGCAATATATAATAATATGTGCTTTGAAAAAAAAAACAATTTCGCTCTTTTATAATTTTTGTGAATTATTGCCGCTTAATAAATACCTACTTATTTAATATTTTCTCTTTGATTACTCCATCTTCATTGTTCCTCAACAAGATCCACGCGCCACGATCGACCCCCCTCTCGCAATATGAAATTTTACTAACCTCTGTGTTAGCTTATACCTAAGTAACGTGCTAAAAACTACCTAGTTATAATACTTTCTTAGATTTACGCGAATATTCAAAGTTTTAAATAAAACTTATCTTTTCGAATTAATTCGCGGATTTATTTTGATTTTTGGTTCCGGACGTCACGAATGTTTTACAGCAATCATGGTCACGGGAGAGACCCACGATGATATCCGAGAAATAATCCGAAAAGATAGTTTTATTTAAATTGCCTGTTAGTATTCACTCAAGTTACCAGAGGACGAGCGGGAAGTATTGGAGACCTAATCGTAAGCTTGTTACTAATGCATGAAAATATTATGAGTTATCATTAAAAATAACGCAGCAACAAAAGCTATACAATAGAAAATAACATTGCGAAAGAGACTGCACATTTTGCAAAACACCCTATTTCCATAGTAATATTTTACATGCAAAACTACTTGGATTGAGAGTACACCCAGCATTTTCTCGTAACTAGACCGCTCGGGGTTATACGATAAAGTAAACATTTATGACGCCGTCCCGTGAAGAAGTTTATGTTGCAACTTTTATTATTCTATTTCCATTTTACAAAGATGCCAAATGTCCTTTATCTGAATGCATACTTGTTTACATTATTATTGTAGCAGATGGATTGCCGAATCAGCTGTTTTACAAAATCGCTCGTTGTTTGTACAGTTGGACAACTGAACGAAGTTTTTTTTCTATAATTACTGAACTTTAATAAACAGAATGGTTACAACGTTTTGCATTTATCTAAGCAACGGGTCAACGATAAGTGGTTATGTAAAACAGCGAGAAATAAAATGTTAGATTGTAGATTGCATATTTTAGTAATTTTTGATTTCCGGCCTTTTTTATTATTTCAAACCCAGAACCGCTACTATAAAAAACTACTTGGGCAATGGCGATTGCTTTACATAATGGAGCTGTTACGTAAAACAATTAGCGGTTTTGTAAAACAACGGATTCGACAATCCAACTGCGACAATAGCTCCTGTAAAAATTTGGAGTACGTATACAAGTATAATTTTTCTTTGCAATGTAACTACATGTTTTGTTTGATTTCAGATTATCGACATAAGAGATATTTTAAGAGCAGACACTATTGACCAAATGAAAGATGTGTACATTGTACAATGTTTAATGGAGACGGACCTTTATAAATTATTAAAAACACAGGTAAGTTCGAAAATTGTTACATGGTAAATAATGCTTAATACATTAGTAGACACGAGTACAATGCCTATAGGGAATATATATTTTTCTTTGTGGCTAATGACTTACCATCGCTACGGTCGGGTGCATACCTAGGAGCCTTTTGCCTTTATAATAGAATTTTTATACAGACAACGCCAACTTAAGGCAATTTTTTGTACTAATAATAACCTATGTTTTACTCCATGTCATAGTGTATCTGTGCTAAATTTTATTCAAATCCGTCCAGCGTGAAAGAGCAACAAGCATACACACATACAAACTTTCGCATTTATTGTAGAGTGATACCGGCACTACTCCTGGTTTAGGTAGAGCTACTACACTGTGTGGTCAATAGGTTACAAATTAATATATTATGTCAGAATTATTTGAGATTGAGTTATAATTGAAGGTAGAGTTTAAGTAAAATTTAGTATAAAAACCCTTGTGATATATCTCGGCATAAAATAAAAAGGCAACAAAATCTATTCCATTGCGACTGAAAGATACAACACGTGTCTGTATGTTATTTCTTGTATTTCTATATTTAACTGTACCTACGTGTATCTTATAAGAGAGAATAAGAAAGATTGAAAAAATCACATGTTTTATTTAAGAAAAGAATTTGTTTTTTTTTTACATAGAAATGTATGTATTTCTATTGAGAAATATTTAAATCATACTATGTATGTATTCATAGGTACCTAGTTAAATATTTCATAACTACCCGCCATAGATCAAAAAAGTACTAGATACACAATCCCATGCAAAAGTTATCTTAAAGCAATCACCAATTATGTTTAGGTAATTATTCTATCTATACTAATATCATAAAGAAGTAAAGTTTGTGACTTTGTGATGTTGTAGGGGGTAATCTCTGGTTCTACTGAACCGATTTAGATGAAAGGTAAGAAGACAGTTTGAGATCCTGGGAAGGATATAGGATACTTTTAATCGCGGAAATCACCCCTTAGGAGGGTGAAAATGGGGATGAAAGTTTGTATTGGGAATTAATATACAACAACGCTAGTTTGAAATAAATATACAACAATGTGAATTGAACCTTAATTGCAAAGATTAAAGTTGTTTTCACAAAAACAAATTAAATTAAAAGTGCGCTCAACTGTTCAAATGAGCGCTCATTCGGTGAGGACATTTTTTTGTCGCTGACTACTTTTTTGATCGATGATTACCGTCAAGTTTTATGGCCTGAAGCCTAAAGAATACAACTAACGATATAAAATATCTGTTCTTCCATATAACTTTTGTCCACTTTTGTTAGCAAAAAAGTTAAACGTTTTAGTTAAATTTAACATCTGGTAGTCTATTATGGTGTCGCCTGAGGATTATTTTTGTTTTAGAAATTAAGTAACGACCACATCTGCTACTTCCTGTACCAAATCCTGCGAGGGCTCAAGTATATTCACTCGGCGAATGTTCTTCATCGGGATTTAAAGCCAAGCAACTTACTGCTTAACACTACATGTGATTTAAAGGTAAATATGTACTTTTTATCTATACATATAATAAAATTCTAACTAAGTCGAATCTGTACATTAAATATTTTTCTAATAGATAATAAAGGAAAATCTTATTGAAATAGACTTTATTATCGGTACAGAGGCCGAATCTATAGTTTTTTAAATTTTTGTCTGTCTGTCTGTTACCGCATCACGAGAAAACTACTGGACAGATTTTTATGAAATTTGGTATGGTGATAGCTGGTTATTCGGGTCAATATATAGGATACATTTTACTGCGTAAAAACATCCCATCTTTGAGAAATCTATACTAAACGTTAAAACGTAAGTAGGGACGAACCCGAGCGAAGCGAGGGTGAATCGCTAGTTTTATATAAATGTGTATTATTTAAGTTTATTTTTAAGAATATAGTATGGCTATTAGGATGGAGTAAATTAAGCAACATATTTTCTGTTTCTTTTTCTTCTTATCTCTCGTATCTTAATAGATGACCATATATGGGAATTTAATGCTTCATTAATACTAAAAATCAAAAGTCTACGTCTTGATCTTCAGGTGGCGCGCTAAACAAGTAATTTATAAAAAGCTTAAATATTTACTTTTAGAGCCCTATCCTTGAAATTTTTTCATAACTTAATTATCTATATACAATTATAGTGGCTTATGCATATATTATCTTAACATTTTTTTTTAATTTATGGGTTCTAAATTAAAACAACTTTTTGTGAAGACTTTACCTAAGTATAAGTAGGTTAATCATAACTTTGATATCAAAACTTTTGATAAAGTTGGCAAATTGGAAATCTCTAAGCACTTCTTTAAATCATAAGTTCAATCAGGTAGAATGCCTTTAGCGTAGATGTCATCAGCCTTCATTTGCAGATAAGATCTTAATGCCCAGAACAAAGAATACTTAGAAATGCAACATGGCACGGTGTTATTATATAATTTGTGTATAATTATAGATGGCTATTACGCATGCGTGTTTGCATAAAATTAAAAAGAATATTATCTAATATCCCATGTGGTTGTACGACTATTTTTTTTTTAATTTAAATAATGTATGGCTTTTTAGCTTAAGTGGTACACTAACTTTAAAATCACTTGGCAAGTGAACATTTAACTCTTGAGAGTACATTTTTTTCTTGAAATCTATATAGGACCTTATGGTGTGAATCTATGTTTAAAAAAGAATATTCAAGGTATATAATTGTAAATATCACATATCAAAAAGTTCAACCAAGTCAAATCTCTGACCTAATGGTAATTAAAAGAAAAAAAAAAAACAATTACTAATATTACTATGATCCTACGCTTATTGGCGAATTTTAAAACCTAGACAGTATAATCTGTTATTTTTTTAGTTCAATTACATTTTTTTCAATTCTTTCTAACAGCTAGCTCAATAAAAGAATAAATACTGAATGCTTCTAAGATTCTTTTTGTACGTCATAATAAAGCTTTTTAGTTGTTATACGAATAGCCGTCAAGTTGCAAATTTTTTAATTTCAGTTCCAGATCCGTTTTGTTTTTTTTTAAATAAAATAAAACATGTGCATTAATCAGCGCGTATTGCGAGGTTTCGAGGACGTGAGAACTTTAATATGTTATAGTTTCATTTAATTTGTGGTAAAATTATTATTAATTTATAATATGAAAAGTAAAGATCGGTGAAATAATAAATGTCCTAAGTCATTAATATTGCGCGTTCCTAATTCGTTGATAGGTGTTTGTTGTAGCACGGTAGTCGCGGGTTTGATTATCCAATTAGGTGATTGTTAAGATTAAGCTTTATCGTCTAAATTAGAAGGGTTTTATAAATCTACACTATAATTATAATAATACTAGCGGCTCACCCTCGCTTCCCTCGGGTTCGTCCCTGTGTACGTTTTAACGATTAGTATGGAATAGATAGACTAAATGTGTATTATATTATTGTTTCTCTTTCTTGGGCAATAGCATGATCATATATAGCCTATAATAGCCTTTTTCAATAAACGGGATATCTAAAAGAATTTTTCACATCAGATTAGTAGTAGTTCCTGAGATTATCGCGGTCAAACAAACAAGCGAACGAACTAACAAACGAACAAACAAACAACAAAAAAAACCAACTCTGCCTCTTTATAGTATTAGGATAGATAAGTATAGATATATGGCGTCGTCTATATTTATAGGAGGTTGTAATCATTTTCATATATGTATGTATGAATATTGTAAATTATTATTTTAATATAGGTTAGTACCTACTGATTGATTGAGATTTGCGTCAGATGCGATACGAACATCTAACTCATATTACAACATTAATCTTATTTAATTGCTAGCATTGCCCGCGGCTCCGCCCGCGTTCAGATGACCAAAACCCAAATTCTTAGGTTTTTACATATTAGTATACTCTTACAATGCAATTTTTGTATTTTTTTTCAGATATGAGATATTTTCCCGCGGTACAAAGTATCCTATATGTTGACCCGGATAACCAGCTATAATCACACCAAATTTCATCAAAATCTGTCAAGTGGTTTTCTCGTGATGCGGTAACAGACAGACAGACAAAAATTCTAAAAACTATGATTCGGCCTCTGTATCGATATTCGATGTCAATTTCAATTAGATTTTCAAAAAATATTTAATGTACAGATTCGACTTAGTTAAAATTTTATTATATGTATAGATATATAGCCTGCATTCCTCAATAAACGGGCTAACTAATGCAAAAAGAACTTCTCAAATCGGATTATAGTTCCTGAGATTAGCACGTTTATACAAACAAACAAACTCTGCCTCTTTATAATATCAGATAAAAATCTATCATAATATTAAATTACTTATTATTATGTCCTTGTTATATTACTTTCGCCACAATCAACTAATTAACACCTTCAAAAATGAAGTGAGCTTATAAACTTTTAATGGCCTGAATGGCTTTTTACATGTTCTTTACATTTAGCCGGAGCCAAGGGCTATTAACTATGATATATAAACGTTTAATTTAATATACCTAAATGTACGTTACATTAATGTTGTTATCTATACTTACATATAATAAAATTGTAACTAAGTCGAATCTGTACATAAAATATTTGTTGGAAAATCTTATTGAAATAGATATTATTATCGATACAGAGTCCGAATCTATAGTTTTTAGAATTTTTGTCTGTCTGTCTGTCTGTTACCGCATTACGAGAAAACCACTGGATTTTGATGAAATTTGGTATGATGATAGCTGGTTATCCGGGTATCTCGTTTATTAACTGCTTCAGTGGTGTAGTGGCTAGCATGTACGGCTGCACACCCGGAGGTCCTGGGTTCGAGTCCCGGGTCGGGCCAAGTTTAGTTATTGCTTCTTTCTGAATAGCAAGTCTCAGTAACAGCCCGGAGTTGGGAAGTTGGCGGTGTTTCACCCCCGTGCCTCGGAGAGCACGTAAAGCCGTCGGTCCTGCGCCTTAACGCTCACCGGTCGTGTCGAGCAGTCGTCCCACCGGAGTATGAAAGTGACAGGAATAGAGAGTGCACGTTGTGTCTGCGCGTACACTTGTGCACTATAATATCTCCTGCGCAGTTGGCTAATCTCAATGAGATTGGCCGCCGTGGCCGGAATCGGCTAGGACATCATCATCATCATCCGGGTCAACATAAAGAATACTTTTTACCGCGGAATAATATCTCATTTCTGAGAAACAATACAAAAATGTAAGAGTATGCTTATATGTAAAACCTAAGAGTTTGGTTTTTGGTCATCTGAACGCGGGCGGAGCCGCGGGCAATGTGAGTCGTATAATATATAGTCTATCTATTCCATACTAACCGTAAAAGTGGAGCGGAACGTTTAAAATACAATATGTTACAAAAATCTGCACATTAGTCTTCTTTTTCTTTTTACAAGGTTTTATTTGTAAATTACCTTTTCTTTTCCAACAATATGTCAACAACAAACTGCTTTTTGCATCAGGGTTAAGGCAGCCTTATTAAATTTTCAAAGTAAATATGGTTCTTACCGCAACTAGTTAGGCAAATATTTGAAATTTTCAAGAAGTAACAAATAGCTTTTTAGCAGCATCTCGTTACGATAATGAAAGTGCTAAACGTGAAACTCGCTGTGTTGACAGTGCTCGTTAGTTTTAATATCTCCATTTCGTCTTGTTAACATCTTTGACCACAAACAAACTAGTTTAAATATAATAAAATTTGTGTTATTTTCTCTAATAATTGCAAATAGTGATTAATTATTGACTTAATAAAAAAGTGGATAATATCCTAAGTTTTATGTCCAAGGAAATGTTGTTGTATAAATGTTGCTTTAAAGTATGTATTTTGCAAAAGGTTCTTTGTGTCAAATGGTTAGAAAACCTAAAAGAGTAAATATCCTAATCGGGTTTAATTTAATACTCGTATATCTAAATTTATATTACTTTAATGTTGTAATAATTAAATAAAATTAATGTTGTAATAGGAGTTAGATGGTCGTATCGCATTTGAGGCAATGGTCATCAAATTATCGTCTGCAGTAAGTAGGCTATATTTATATTTGTATTGGGACGCTGCTTTTAAATTGGCTTAGAATAAATATTTGCACAAGTAAAATAAATATAAGCAAATTGAAAGTGGCTAGCACGTTCAGCAGCAGATCCAAAGGTCTCGGGTTCGAGTGCCGGCTCGGGCCAATTTTAATTATGTATTGAGTTTTCTCTCTGCGAGTGTGTATACTTGTGCACTATAGTATCTCCTGCGTAGTTAGCTAGCCTCAGAGAAATTGGCCGCTTTGGCTGAAATCCGTCAGAAAGACATTATAGGTACGTTTCGTAGATCTACCTCCTATCTAATACCTCCTAGGTTTCCGATATACGGATATTTAAAATTAAGTGTGTTTTCTTTTATTTATTTTTTAATTTGTTATGGGGTTTAAAATTTGCTTGTTCAGATTTGTGACTTCGGTCTGGCGCGAGTGGCGGACCCAGACCATGACCACACGGGCTTCCTCACGGAGTACGTCGCGACACGCTGGTACCGTGCGCCTGAGATCATGCTTAACTCAAAGGTGATTATAATTTAATATTTTATTTAATAATTAACTTCTAAGAGTTTAATTTACAAGGTAGCTTAGTAGTTTTACGAGTCTCAATGATAAGTTAAGTTTTTACAATCGAAATCGAGTCAAATCTGAAAAAAATGTGTGGAAATTACATGTTCTGACCATAATGGTGAACTAAGGCAACTGGTAAGTAAGCCGATTAAATGTAACTTTGTTCTAGTCATTTCAAAAAAAGTAATAAATATTTCATAAAATTTCAAGAAACATAATAATTACTTATAAGGTGCTTTCAAATTTCTATCAAGTTTCCATTCTTATAACCCTTTTTCTCCTTTCTGTTTCAATTAAAAATATTTTGTTCAAATTTTCGCACAATAGCTTGCTGATGAAAAGATATTACCGCTTTATAATTTTTTTTGACTGTACTAATCTTCTTAAAAAGTTTCGTTTGCATTATTATTTATTACCCTCGTCTATGCCAAGTTTGATTGACTTTCAAAAATCTTAATTTTGACATTATATTTTGTTTATTTATAAGCAGTACTTTTATACCCATTTACAATACTTTTACTAAAGGCGTACTAGTGATGTAACGAATATTCGCATTCGTATTCGCAAGAAACAATGCGAATGTTAAGCGAATGTATTTGACAAAAAAAAATGAAATTATAGATGGAATTGATTGATGGATGTGAATGATAATTGAACTGTGCTTTTCTCATATTTTTATGTCACTTTTGGCTACTTATCATTTAAATTTTACAAATGCCATAATACTAATCTAAATCCAAGTAACCAAAAATCTTTAAGAATGAACTTTATGACTAACTTCGTTCATTCAATCTGTATCGGCTATGTTCGGTTCAAACGTGGCTGACACGAAATTTCAAACCTTTCTGTCCACGAAATGTCTAACATTTTGCGCGCGCTTTATTTGAAAGTCAACATTCGTATTCGCGAATATCGAAGATGAATATTCGCATTCGCGAATGTGAAAAATCGAATATTCGTTACATCACTAAGGTACCTACCTACCTACCTTTTGTTTGAAAAAAAAATATTTTTTCAAATATAAAGTTACATTTTGTAACAAAGGATGTCCATTATTCGAAATCCCAACGGATTGGTACGCGCGCTTGCGAACTTTGTAATTTTTTTTGCAAATTGTGCTTCAGACTCATAAAAGATTCGCTCGATCGCATCGAGAATGACGTGCATAATTTTGTAAGGTACAATCGTTTCAGCTCACACGCGTGTAACAAACGACTTTATGTCAATAGCATAAAATTCATTTTACTTGTGCTTTGGCACATAATAATAGATTTGTTTGCACTAATTATAGTTAGCGAACAGGAGTATTGCGAATAGTATAATTGAACTATTGAGTGTACTTGCACTGGATCGCGTATCGATTTGTCCCGTTTGATAATGGAAATTGAATGTTATTTCAACATGTGCATTACAAATATACTGTAGTCGGTTCTCAATTGTTTATATTATGTAGTGAAGTAATAAAAAATGTAGTAACTTAATTAAACACCATGTTTATTACATGGTGTTTCATTAAGTTTATGTAAGGCTACTAAGATTTGAGATTTGAGAAAAGAAGAAAATTTGGCATTATTTTTTTTTGCCATGGCGTTTATGCTACAATTTCCATTTATTCCGATCTAATTAAATTTCGAACCCGGGTTAAGTAATGCTACGAGTAGAGAGCGAGAAAAACCGAATATGTTATGAATGTCATGTTAAATAATATAAAAGTGAAAATAATAGAAATATATTCTATTTTGCTTGTTCTCGTATTATTTTATTTTCATTGTTCTTTAAGTTTTCGTGTTCTACATTTTCTTTTTGTTCCGTTACACCCTTAATTTGCCCAATTTATTGATAATGTCTTCATTGTATTATTTGAAATAATGTATTTGAATTACATTACAAAATTTCCCTAACCATTCGAAAATAATAAAGTAAATACTTTTAGAATTTATTTTACACAATATTTTTATCTGTACTGTTTTATTGTAATAAACACAACTTTGTAAAGTTTAATTAATCTTAACAATAACTTATGCAGGGCTACACAAAATCAATAGATATCTGGTCAGTGGGATGTATTTTGGCTGAAATGCTGTCAAACCGGCCAATCTTCCCTGGAAAGCACTACCTCGATCAACTCAATCATATCTTGGGTGTGTTGGGATCACCGAGCCAGGAGGACTTGGATTGCATCATCAACGAAAAGGTAAGGTGCCACTATTAGGCTATATTATATATTTTAAAGAATCTTCTCCTTAGTGTTATATCTTAATTCGATTTATATACTGACAAGCAGAACCCGCGGCTTCGCTCGCGCTAAAACTACAGAAAAATCCTAAAAAATAGGTTTTAACTTTTATACAAATTTTCATTCATACCTCCTATCATACCATATATATTTTACAGCCTTATGAGATGAATTTATGGATGCTGAAACACGTATTTATTTAATTGTATTGAAGAGCATTAATACCAAGTTTCAAGTTATTCTGATTATAAATAATAAAAAAATATTTATAATTAGAATTAGAGTTATTTAGCCATAGGAAAAGTGTTAGGACACTACGTTATATGGGTTTTATGTAGAATACTGTAACAGGACATATTTTAATACTAGCGACTCGCCCTCGTTTCGCTCGGGTTCGTCCCTAGGTGAGTCTTTAAATTGACATAACTTTTTTATTTATGAACCGATTGAAATAAAATAAATACTGCATGTTAAGTGAAGCTTACCACAATACATTAGTGTAAATAGCACCCAAATCGGTTCAAACGTTTCTGAGATTAGCGCGCATAGACGCACAGACAAACATAAAAATTCTAAAAATATATATTTGTTCGGTTCTTTTACTTTAATAAAACCAATAATAATATTTTTTCTCAAATACCTTCCCTGTACAGGACAGGGATTAGTTAAACTTTTATTATAATGTATAGAAAATAAAATGTAAAATATTGGTTATTTTTACATAGATTCTTGTATGAAAAACAAACTACATCATCACAGTTACGTCATATTAGGCGGAGTCACATTAAACGGATTATACGTATCTATTTTTTATGTACACGTGATACGTCTAGTCTGACTGATTACAGTTTTATATTGGTGTTTCAGTAATTAGTACCGTTTTAATTTTCTATTTATGTTATAAGCGAAACGAGGTTTTATGAAATAGATTAATGTAAACTCAATATGACATGCATATAATTAGTACTTATAATACATAGTATACAAAATTATGATGATGATGTTGACCGATTCCGGTCACGGCGGCCAATCTCATTGAGACTAGCCAACTGCGCAGGAGATATTATAGTGCTCAAGTGTACGCGCAGACACAACGTGCACTCTCTATTCCTGTCACTCTCATACTCCGGTGGGACGACACGAGACACGACCGGTGAGAGTTAAGGCGCAGGACCGACGGCTTTACGTGCTCTCCGAGGCACGGGAGTGAAACACCGCCAACAAAATTATAAGATACTAGCGACTCACCCTCGCTTCGCTCGGGTTCGTCCCTACTTACGTTTTAACGTTTTGTATAGATTTCTGAAAGGTGAAATATTTTCCCGCAGTGAAAAGTATCCTATAGGTTGACCCGGATAACCAGCTATCACCATACCAAATTTCATCAAAATCTGTCCAATAGTTTCCTCGTGATGCGGTAACAGACAGACAGACAAAAATTCTAAAAACTAGATTCGGCCTCTATATCGATAATAATGACTATTTCAATAAGATTTTGCAAAAAATATATAATGTAAAAAGGCAGTGGTAGCCCAGTGGTAACGCTCTCGCTTGGGAAACCGAGTGAAGCGGGTTCAAATCCCGGGTCTCGCACCTCTGATATTTTCATGTGCGAATCATTTCTAACATGATTACCACTTGCCTTACGGTGAAGGAAAACATCGTGAGGAAACCTGCATGTCTGAGAGAACTTAGCAAGTTTTCGAAGGACATGTGAAGTCCGCCAACCCGCACTTGGCCATGGTGGACTATGGCCTGATCCTCCTCGTATTGAAGGGAGGCCCGTGCCCAGCAGTGGGACGTTAAAAAGGGCTGAATACAATAGAATATAATGTACAGGTTCAGCTTAGTTAGAATTTTATTATATGTATAGATATTATGGTTAGTAGGGGCTTATCTACACCATAATATAATGAAATAATGCCTATGGCGTTTTTTGTTTCTTCGTATGCTTTTAACGCGCCAATTAGTAATTGCTGAAAGTAAGTAGGTTAAAAATAAACTTTTATGCATTTTATATCTGTCTATTTTTGTAGCAATGATAAAAAATTAAAATTTTCCATGCTAAAAAAATGCCCATAAACTCTCTTGTGCAATAAGTCATATCATCCTATCATCCCGTAGTTTACAATAAAACAAAATAAATATACTTTCGCATTACAACTGTAATAAGGATTGATAACAAAAATAATACTATCGTAAGTCATTAAAAATTCACAGTTTTCAACTTAAAAACAAAAAATAAAACCATTTTGTACAAAATCATATATATTGCTATAAAACACAAATAGCGTTATGTTATAGAAACTTGTTATTATGCATTATTGAATATCTTCGATTATTAAATTGTAAATTCGATTCGATTCGAAATAATATATTATATATCAAACATAAAAAGCGATTACGAAATCGAATAATCTGTTTTTACTATACAGATGTATAAGAAAATTGTGGAGGTTTTCATTTTTATAGCGTAGTGTATTCAGCCCTTTTTAACGTCCCACTGCTGGGCACGGGCCTCCCTTCAATACGAGGGGAATAAGGCCATAGTCCACCACGCTGGCCAAGTGCGGGTTGGCGGACTTCACATGTCTTTCGAAAACTTGCTAGGTTCTCTCAGACATGCAGGTTTCCTCACGATGTTTTCCTTCACCGTAAAGACAAGTGGTAATCATGTTGGAAATGATTCGCACATGAAAATATCAGAGGTGCGAGACCCGAAATTTTGCGTAGTATGGTAAATTAATTATTTTTTAACAAGCAAGTACGATGTTCTTGGCATATTCCATTAGCTTCTTTTTAATTTTGCATATTCTAAAACGTGTCAAAATACACTAAAATTGCTTTATAAAAGTGCTTCGTTGACACTTTAATGTATAACGAACGGCTATTTAACAAGGTGTTACCTTTAATTTCTCAATATAATAGACGATCACTTTATTCAAATTACCTTTAGACCTCGTGGACCTTTTAACAGGATGAAATACTGTTAAGGTGTTGCCATTACTTTATGTTTATTCAAATAATTATATTTAAGTTAAAAGGTATAATTTAAAATTATTATTATTTTTTCAAAATATTTTAAAGTGAAACTTCTTTAGAATTGTTGTGATTTAAAACTCGATGAAATGGAAATGCGACACGAGAAAGAGACAATCACATAAAATAGGATTAAGACGGCGAGAGAATGAGATAGAATACATTGCCATGTTGTCATAGTAACCGTTGTTATTTTCTGACAAATATCTATACTTATTATAAAAATAAGTCTCCCGGCCGCGTCTTTCTGTCCTCCTGTCTGTCCTCCTGTCTGTCTGTACGCGATAAACTCGAAAACTACTGAACGGATTTTTATACGGTTTTCAACAATAGAAAGAGTAATTCTTGAGGAAGGTTTAGGTATATAATTTATTATGCTTTTATGTAAATTAGCTGAAATACGGCGACAAATGTTGAAGAGGTCGCAAAAAATCTCGCCAAATGGGAACTTTCCACGCGAACGCCGCGTAAACTAGCAAAGATACAGTTAAGTAATGTACTAGAGAATTCAAAATCTATAAAAATGCTACAAAAAAGTCCGCGATAGCATATCTCTATCTCTTACGGTTGACTTACAATAACCACTTTTATGTTAACATTTTTAATTAAAAACATTACGTTATTTTCAAAGTTATTTTCTTTAGTTCGGTATTAATCCTTATCCAAATGAATATTTTAGTTAGCTTAGTCATTTAATGCAGATTAAAATTGCTCTTTACACTAAATCAATCAGATGAATAGTTTTTGAGATATCGTTGTTAGAAGTAATTAGTAGCGAAACATTTTTAATGCTTGGCGAGCATTGAGATGCCTACGGCGAGTCCATCCCCTCTGCCCCGCATCGCTCGACCGCCTGCTCAAGCTATATAAACCGGGCGATGTAGCGCGCGATCCTAGGATACTTTTTACCGCGGGAAAATATCTTATTTCTGAGGAAAAATACAAAAACTGCAATGTAAGAGTATACTAATATGTAACACCTAAGAATTTAGTTTTTGGTCATCTGAACGCGGGCGGAGCCGCGGGCAATGCTAGTATACATATAATAAAATTGTAACTGAGTCGAATCTGTACATTAGATTTTTTTTTGGAAAATCTTATTGAAATAAACATTATTATCGATACAGAGGCCGAATCTATAGTTTTTAGAATTTTTGTCTGTCTGTCTGTTACCGCATCACAAAAACTACTGGAAGGATTTTGATGAAATTTGGTATGGTGATAGCTGGTTATCCGGGTCAACATATAGGATACTTTTTACCGCGGGTAAATTTCTCATTTCTGAGAAAAAATACAAACACTGCAATGTATACTAATATGTAAAATCTAAGAATATGGTTTTTGGTCATCTGAAAGCGGACAGAGCCGCGGGCAATGCTAGTATATAATATTAAGTTTCACTTGTGTGTGTGAAAGAATTGTTAGTGAAATTTAACAGGTACTCTATATTTATAAGTATTTTAATATCCATAATAACAAAAGTAATGAAAAGAAACGTATAATGATTATTTAATGATGGAAAAACAAAATCACATTCACAGTTTCCACCTACGCATTAATTAAATAACGATTTGTAACGTGATATGTAATTTGCACTTGAAAAGGCAGAAGGAAATTTTCCAGAAACGCGCTAAAGAATTTGGTAAATGAGGCTTGGTATTCTATTGTGTATGCCTTCATCAAATATCGTCATACATATCCAACGTAATTTTGGCACAAACATTTTAACAAGCGAGAGATGAATATTGTAGGCACCATACAACCAATATTTTGTTGGTTTTTTTTTGGTGTTCATTTATTACCTATAAAAAAAAAGAAAACAAAAAACCATGTTTATAGGTAAAACGTTTTATTTTTTATGGTAAAATGCGCGTGTCCGATATCAGCGTGATGTGAATATTTGTATTCATTATAGTTTA